TTAACTATACGATAACTCACAGTGAATATTTTGATGTTGCATTTGGACTGTTTTATATGACATATCTTAAAAAATAAATACCTCAAATAATAACTCGATTGAGATAAATGGAAAAGAAACGAGATTTTATTGAGAAAAAGCATATTAAATAAGTGCATAGAGTGTCGAAGGTTGTAAAAGGACAGCATTTATAAGTTACGATCTAAAAAAAACCAAATTTTATATAAAAAATACTAAATAAGTGTTTAAGATGAAGAAATACAGACTGAAAAAAAGAAATAAATTTGTTATTGTATATGAAATTGGTGTGAAAGTTGCTGCGGTTTATATTTTTAGAATTACAAAAAAACTACATTATTATAGCAATCGATTATTTTCCTTGAAAAGCGTGGGCTAGAGTCACAATAACGATTAAAAGCAAAAAATCAGTTGAAGTTCATAGGGATAAAAAGACACAATTTTACATTTTGACCAGTTATAATAGAATTATAACACGGAAGTTTTATTGTGCAAGAAAAGACGCCATTAAGATTTATACTATCTATTTAGTTTCAGCATCAATCAAATGGAATAGTACTGCGATTTAATAGAACTATATAAAAATTATTTTTTAAAGAACAAAGTTTCTTAAACCTAAAAACAAAAGATAGAAACTCATTGATATTTACAATAAAATTTACATTTGGCATTAGTAATGTTATTTGAATTGCCTATTAACATACTAAATGAAGGAAGATAAAGGAAAAACTGCTTGACAAGATAATAAATATAATTACATTGTAGAAAAAAAGAAGTTGAATGTATTTTAAGAAATTATAAAAATTATTATAGGACAAAGAGGCTAATATGTAATCTTACTTAAATTGGGTTCTTTAGATACTTTTTTAGGTTGTCTAAGAAATTTGATTAAAATTATTTAAATGTTTTCTTTTACACGCATCCCTTTTACTTATTTCACCTTGTTTGCCATTTATTATGGATTTTAAAGGCTTTGACAAAAAACAGGGAGCCCAAGGGACTTGATCAACAAAAAAAATCTTTTTTTTTATTTTGAATATAACAGAATCCAGAAATCATTTATTAATCACAACAAAGTTACTAAACGTACTATAGAAAGTTTCTTTGTAAATCAATTATATAACATAATATACTTAACGTATACTACTTATTTTATTGATTAAGTATACATCCTTAAAAAAAGACTTAAATATTTAGTGAAATTGTTTACAAATAAAATAATATCTAAAAACAAAATCTTAATTTAATTTTTTTTAAAAAGATTATTAATAATATAAAAATAGAAAGTATAAATTGTTAGCGGTACCTAAACATACAGTTGAATATGAACTATGCAAGTACTTTAACGAAGAGATTTTAAATGAAAAGAACATGGAAGATTGTAATAAAGAGACAAAGAACTGAAAAACATTGGACATAGCATATAACATAAAATAGCACAGAAAATAAGTATTAAGTCAAAAAAAATACTAAATAAAAATGTTAAGGTGGTAAACGTTTACATCAACATTTGTCTCGACAGTTAAAAAATTTGAATCTCAGAATTAGAGTTTAAATCAAAGAGATAAAAAATCTTTAAAGAAAACTTTAATGTTTTTTTGCATTAAAATGAAATTAAAGTAGGAATATCAGTTTAATTTATAAAATAAATAATTCTTTGTAATTTAAATGTTAGAACAAGAGCCATGAGAAACATCTTGAAATTTAAACCAAGAAAGAAGAATACATCCAATCAATAGTAGTAAAAAAAACCTTTAAAAGCTTTTTCTTTGACTATAGAAAACAAGCCGATATTGGCCTGGTAAATGGTAGTGAAGAGAGGTTGGCATCTTTAAGCTTGCTAAATTCTAGTAGAATCTTAATTTCCTAAATAAAAAAAATAAATAAATTGCTACAAAATTAAACTAAATTATATAACAAAGTTATATAAAATGAAAAAGGTAGCTTTTAAATATATTATTAATAAAATATAAATTGTACTAAAAAGCATTCTTCTTCAAAGCTCAGTCTGTACAAAATAATTCATAGAACAAACATCGTTTCAACATAGGTTTTAATACTATTAAATTTGTTTGTTATTGATTTATCATTCATTTCCCATTCCTGTTATTATTTTTTAAATTGAAAAATATTTTACTTAGAATTTTTAATTTATCATTATCAATTTTTAAAAAGTTTAATTTATATATTTTAATCATAGTTAAATGTGACATATTGAATCCATTCCATCATATAAATATAGTACTTCTTGATATTTTAATTGTAAGGTAGATAAATTTAAAAATTATTTTAACCGTTAAATGTTATTTTGGTTACAGGTAGTTTTTTGTTCAACTCCAATATTAGATTTTAATTTTTTAGTAGATCTAGAAAATTCATCAAACTACTTAAAAGCATTTGAAAACAAAGGATTATGTGAAAATGAAGAGATACAACGAAAGACTCAAGAAATGACTAAAACAGAAAATAAATATTTAGATGAAAATCCATTTGATTCTAATTTGCTAAATGATTTGGCAGATTTTATAGAAGAAAATCTTAATAGTATGTATAAAAATGTTGATTATGAGTTATGTGATTCTTTGTCATCAACCACTGCAGAGAACAGTTTGGTGCCACCTAGTTGCACAAGAAGTACACTTATTACTAATGTATGTAAAAACCAATGTTGTGCGTTACAAGAATCAAGAAATGACGCAGCAAGTCTTAAAGTTCCAAACAGTAATGAAAATGATACAGCAGAACACTCTTACGTTAATACATCTTGGAATGATGATACTAATTTATTATTACAAAAAAATCAAAATGATTTAATGCAAGATCAATATGCTAACTCGGAAAGTAACACTTTTTTACAAAAAAATAGTAATGTTTTGATTTCATCAAGTCAACAAACTTACAACGTCGGGAATAATAGTATAAATTTACCAAGTGCTGTTCAAACAGATGCTTTATTTAATGTTGATATTTTATCTACGATTAATAACCCTGAAAGTGGTTATTCTTTTAATAATGCTTACAGAAATGATATTGACGTAAAAAATAAAGGGAAAAGACCGAAAACTAACAAAGTATCTAATATACAAACAAATGGTAATGAAAAGGCTTTGAAATCTAATAAAAAAATAAAGACTAGTAAAGCAACTCTAAAAAGTCGATTTACAGCTAACGAGCGCGAACTTTATAAAAAATACAAGGAATCCGAAAAAAAATTTAGAAATTTTTATAAACGTAAAATCAAAGATCGAATGCCGCAATTTATTAAGAAACTTGAAATATCTAATCTTTCCGATGAGTTGAAACAACGATCAATTTTTGCTCTAAAAAATCTTTTAAGTTTTTTAGATACTATAAATGCAATTTATATTAATACGTGGAAAACTAAAAAAAAGGAAGATTTTTTAAACTCATTAAATCTAGCATGTTATCAATTTAGCAAGTATGCAGACGTGTATCAAAAACTTTTAATTTTTAAGTTGATTTGTAATAATTTACATAAGGTTAATGATAGCGATTTTTGTAATTTTTCTAGCTGTGATTTTTATGAAATTTTTCAGTTTCTATTTTCTGTTGACAAAAGAGTCAATTCATTTTATAGTAGACTAAAAAAATTAAGGGATGATTTTAAAAAAAATGATCAACATTAAAATTTTTCAAAGGTTATTTGTATTATTTTATACATAATTGCTCATTGAATCTATTTTTTTAATTATTTATTTGTTTTGTAGTAAAATTAACAATAAAAAAATACTTTTTATATCTAAAATATTGAAAATGCGTGTAAGCATTAATTATATTTAAGTAATTAAAAATCGCAAAGGGTTATACCCATGTGTCGATCTTTGCAATTAATACGTAGAAAAGATTTGAAAATGGAAAAATATACTTTTGCGGTATTAATACTTATCCACAATGCAAAATTTATTTTTTTATATTTAAAAATAATTAAATTTTATTTTTTACTTTTAATAAATAACGAATAAACAAAGTTAATTTTCATACAATATTAGTTTTAAAAATCTACATAACCTTTCATAGGCCAAAGAGAGACACTAATTATAGAATTTACGTTAACTTTATCACAAACAAGGTTCGATATTGTAGAAGTGCGCCAGATTCTTATACTTATCATAAAGTATCGACACTTTAGCAACCTTTAACACTTAAACAAAGAAAATATTTTTAAAATGAA